CGGTCTTGGAGCAGAATGGCGGCAGTGTCGCTCCCTTCTTCGTCTTCAACCCAATCTTTTGGAAGCAGAAATCAGCTCCATTCTTCAAGCGGAACAGCAAGATCTTGACCTGCAGACAGCACGTAACAAGAAAGGAGCAATTAACATCAGTTTTTATTCAACGCCTACGAAACGCGTCAACAAGTCCTTCTGCCACTACTGCAAAAAAGATGGACACAGTATAAATTTTTGCAACAAGCTTCATGCTGATAGGAAAAGAGGAGGACAGCAGCATTCGCAGCAGTTCAAGCAACCCGTGAAACAGAATCCACCGACAACAACTCCTGCAACATCAGCAAAACAGGTTTTTAGCTACGTTACAACAGTTCATGCAACAGACTCAGATTTGGACGACGACGATGACAAAAATTCTATCCCGCAACCTGAGAACATGGTTTTACCTCAAGTATACGCCAACCTTGCTCGGATTATCGCAAGACCGAACACTTGGTATCTTGTTAGTTGCTGCGGACAACACATGTGTTCTGCCGAGACGCTCTTCATTACTCATCAGAAGTTACCTCTTAATCACTTCATTCCCGGCCAAGTCGACGAATCACCAGCGATTCTCCTTTCATCGTTTCTTCTTTTTATACTAACGCCGATTTTTATCTGCGATCAACAGGACACAAAGCAACAGAAGACATTTGGCATCAAAGGTTAGGACATCCTTCACCAGGAATTTTTAATCATATAATCCGAGCTTCAGTTCTTGACAAAAATAGTCTACTCTTACAGGATGGAACGGAGATGAAGTCGTCTTCGCAACCAGCAGTCTGCACCACATGCGCGACCGCTAATCTTCATCACGAACCTTTTCCGAGTCACTTTCCAGGATCAACTCGCTACAAATTTATGCAGAAGGCTTACAACGACATAATAAACTTACCGGAAGCAAGACCTAAGGGGGAGTTATACATGATATCGTTTATCGAAGCTTCTACTCGATACGTTTGGAGCATCAACATACCAGCTCGTCACAAGGCTCACTCAATTTTCGTGGCGTGGCTCGCGGTGGCTGAAAGAGAATCGAAAGAAAAGCTGCAAGAGTTTCAGAGTGACTGCGCAGGGGAGTATACGAGCACAACTTTCACTGATTACCTGCAAACCCTCGGCATCAAGCGCGGGTTGTCCCTGCCACATCAACACCAATAGATGGGGGTAGCAGAAAGGATGAACAGGACTTTACAAGAGGATCATGGCCTTGTTGACAACGTACAGGACCAGGGCAGAGCTAGGCTGCTCACCTAAGTCAGTGAGCAAGAAGGTCAGCCAGCGGAGCTCCTGTGCCGCCATGGCGCAGGTTTAGATCTCGGCCTCACAGCTGGACTGGGCAACAAACGACGAGCGAGTGGCTCTCCACGAGACAGCAAGGCTGAAGCAGTAGCCCTGCGAGGACCTAAGGGTCTCGGCGTCGTCGGCCCACGAAGCGTCCGTGTGCCCAGTAAGGACCACTGGCCTGCGCCCGCCTAGCACTAACCCCATGCCCGATGCACTTGCAAAATAATGCAAAACCCTCTTAGCGACAGACCAGTGCTGAGGTCGGTGTTTGCCTGTAGCCACAAAGCGAGCCAAGGTGCTGAGAGGGTATGCAAGATCTGGGCGAGTGCAAGTCATCAGGAACATGAGGCAACCCACCAGCTCAGCGTAAGGGCCATAGGGCTCTACTGACTCCTCAGGAACTGGAGCAGAGCCTGTGGTTTACAGGCAGAAGGGTGGGCTATGCTGGGGAGAACTAAAGGCCGAACCTCTGAAGGACCTGGCGCACCAAGTGTGACTGAGTCAAGGTGATGGTGTGCGCTGCTCTGTCCCTGGAGATCTGCAAGCCAAGGTAGTGGCCCTATTCTCCAAGGTCAGTGCAGGTGTGTCTCTTCAGCAGCTCTGCCTTCACCAAGGCCAGTGCGTCCCTGTCTGCAACGGCAAAGACCAGGTTGTCTACGTAAACAAGGATGTAAAACGGAGTCTGGCCAACACGAACGAAGAGCGAGGGGTATGCAGAGGACGGAAAGAACTGCAGATCAGCAAGGATAGCACGTAGCGTGTCGTGCCACTCATGGGGAGCTTGCCGTAGGCCGTAGACAGGGCGCTGCAGGAGCCACTGGGTCCCTGGAGGGAAGGTACGAGTGAAACCCTAAGGGCGGCGCAGGTAGACCTGCTCGTGTAGATTGCCCTGAAGAAACGCAGTGGAGAAGTCGAGGGAGTGAAGCTCCTAGTCACGCTGAGCTGCTACGTGTAGGAGAACGCGAAGAGTAGTCATCTTCAGGGTCGGAGCGAAAGTCTGAAAGAAGTCCATCCCCTCACGCTGACTAAAACCTCTAGCCACGTAGCGCGCCTTAAACACAGGCGACTCTCCGGGAGGGCGCTTCACCTTGAAGAGCGTGCGCCCATCGACTACGTTCACCCAACGTGGAGGAACTGCGTCGACGTAGGTGCTGGTGGATCTCCAAGATGCCATCTCCTTCTCCATGGTAGCTCTTTAGTGAGAAGCCCAAGGTCCCGAGGTCGCCTCAGCGTAAGTGCGAGGGGTCGGGATGTCGAAAGCGTCAGGGTCACCCTCTGGGACTAGCAGCATGGAACAGAGATGGGGAGCAGCCTCGGACAGGAAAGCAAGCTCGCACTGGCGGTCCTCCAGGACGTCACTGCCGAGGGCAGGAGCACCCCTGACATACGGAGGACACGCAGGGTCAGAGACCAGAGCGGTGGCATAGTCAAGGCAGTGGGTAGAGGCGAAGTCAGCGACCGCAGCGACAAGAGCGTCATGATGTGAAACCGGTACAGACGGGTCGGTAACGAGAGAGGCAAGGACCCAAGGAACAAGAGGACGAGCGGCACGAAGGTAGTCAGACAGAGGGGGGGGCGTAACAACATGGGAGGACGGAGGAGGCGACGGCAGGAGGGGAGGACGAGACGCATGGGAACGAAGCAACATAGGGTGAGAGCGTGGGACTGGGGAGACTGGGGGAGCACGGGAGGGACGGCGAGACCAGACGTGAGAAGGAGGAGTCGGGTCAGGAGACAGAGGAGGGGACACCGGAGGGGAACGAGGGGGAAGATGGGCCGGAGTCGAGTCCGGGGGAGGGAACACAGGGTCGTAGACAGGGAGAGGAGGAGACGACTGGGGAGGCGCAGACGCAGGGTCAGGGGACGGAAGGCTGAGCAGGCGAAGGGCGGACACCGGCGGTGACTGCTGCTGCGGCGGCACGGCACCAACTCCGGGACCGCAAGCTGCTTCTCGGCTACCTCCGGAACACTCCACTCCTGCACCCCAAGAAGGAACACCCCTAGAAGGAACACCCCCAGAGCCCGAAGTCCCTCGAGCACCGGTACCACCCCTAGGCCTGCCGGGACAAGCCACGACATGAACCCCAGTACTAGGACCCACCCCAACGCCAGCACCCCCACAGTCAAAGTACTGTTGCTGCGACGGCAGCGGCTGCAATGACGGCTGCGGCGGCGGCGACGGCGGTGACGGGAGCTGCGAGAGCGATGGCAACGGCGGCTGCGGAGGCGGCGGAGGAGGAGACACATGGGAAGCCGCAAGCGGCGAGGACTGCGCCACAGGACCACCAGAGTCAGCAGACTCCTCGACCGGGACAACTAACGTGAGGGGGGTGACGTGGGACACACCAGACGGTGCAGGACGGGGAGGGGGAGGGGGAGGGGCAGGGGCCACCTGGGACGGGGGGACCAGGAACAGTGGGGGAGTAATCGAGGGACCACTGTGGGGGAAGCGACGGTAGAAGGAGACGGACTCATCAAAGGTGACATCGCGGGAGTGAAAGAACCAGTGAGACTGCGGGTGGTAGAAGTGCCAGTCGGACGAGTCTAGGGGGAAACCGAGGAAGACACAGGGGAGGGTGCGGGCAGTGAGCTTGTCCGTGCCAGATGCACGAACGTGAGCAAGGCAGCCCCAGACGTGGAACGCAGACGCGTCACCAGGAGACCCGGACCAAAGAAGGGTCGGCGAAACCTGCGGCTGCTGGGGGTGCGGCCACAGGTTGAGCTGGAGAGCGGCTTAGCGAACGGCCAACGGCCACAGAAAATGGGGTGCACCGGCACGGGTCATGGAGGTACGAGTCACCTCCATGACCAAACCGATGCATCGCTCAGTGACCCCATTCTGCTGTGGGGATTCCGGCAAGGTGAACGTCTGGGTGATGCCCTCCGCACGACAGAAACGACCAAGAACGCCGGAGGCAAACTCGCCGCCACTGTCAGAGTGGAGACGCAAGACAGGGAGACCGCAGTGGACACGCGCAGAGACAAGCCACATGATGAGAATGTCAGGCATGTCGGCCTTCTACTCAAGGAGAAAGACGGTGGTGTAGCGGGTGTAGTCGTCGACAAGCCCTAGGAAGTAGCGCTCTCGACGCGGCCCATGAATGGGGGCGGGGCCCCATAGGTCCATGCCTATACAGCTACTCGCGAAGGACTCTATCTGCAAGAGCTACTGGAGGAAGCGAAATTGACGACAAGTACACAGTTCACCCTGCAGTGCGACAATCAAAGTGTAATCAGCATTGTGCATCAACTTGGTTTCGCCAATAGGACGAGTAACAGCCAGTATTTACAAGTTGTAACACCAGAGTCAGTGTTACAGCCTCGCGATGCTTCAAGACTTTACCAAGGATCTTTGCTGGAATGGTAGACTAGTAAGACAGCGGAAGTCTTAGAACGTGTAAAGTGTTGACAATAATTTACTGAAGAACAAGTTAATAATTGAAGCTGTACATGCTACCTTTATATCTGCTAGAAGTACCTATTCGGTGATGTACCTTTTCGAGCTATTTGTGCTATGCGCTCTAACTGCTACTGAAAAGAGCGGGACTCTTCCCGTGACTGAAACGGCTTGCTGACGTAATCATCCAGACAAGCGCTATTTGCTGACGTCATTCTACGGATGCTAACTACAGTGTAATTCGACAATATTAATCGAAACTACCTAGAGAAATGCGGAAGTACGATTTTACCACAACAATAATTAACCTCAATTTACCAAATTGTTAGCACTCTGCTTCAACACCATTTTTACATGGGAAACGCTTCTGTGTTTTGCTCTTGCTGCTTTGACAATTCGGACTTTCCCTATACGAAAACACATTGTGAAGAAGCTTGTTAAGGCATGTTCCATTCATCAACTAGGGCCTGCAGCACCATGACGCAGACCTAAAACGTAACAGAACATTGTGCGCACGAATGACGTATCCTGAGTTAGCTGCTTCTGTGGAGCAGAATGAAGCAGAAGGGAGGGAGCAGAGTAAGGTGTGGCAAAGTGAAAATAGAGAGGAGATGAAAAGATTCAAGGTCGGTGTGTGTCAGAACGGAATGATAAGGGTGTGCTCAAGCCCCTCTCGTCAAACACCTCTTGGGTCTGGGTTGTGCAATATAGTGCAGGCCGATCGCTCCAATAGAAAAAGTCAAAGTGGTTCAGTTTGGTAATACATGAGCATGTCCCCAGGTAGGTCTGATCCCAAGGCCTAAGCTGACACAGGGCAACGAGATGATGTGGAGAGGCGCTTACTCTGGCTTGTGCGCCGTGATGAGGGCGAACTTGATGAGCCCACTGTTGTACCCCTGCACCATCCACAGCATGGCCACGGCGCCCTTCAACGTCTTCCACCCTGGCGCGGGGGCGGAGCAGGGCACGGGGATGGGGGTGTGCATGCATGTCAGCAACCACTCTTGACTGATCATGGCCGGGAGGGCGCAATGGGCGAGGGGAGAAGCGAGTGCGCGGATGAGCAGACTAGGCATGCATGGTGACGCAGTGGGGCAGCACACTGCGTGCATGGCAGCGCAGCACATGAGAAAACGGCCTGCGGTGGAGGAAGAGGGGGGGCGCGGGCACCTGATGAGAGCAGCCCCCAGATGCCCTTGGGCGTGAGCGCAGAGCGCATGACCGCGGGCCAGAAGAGCGAGATGTTGTCCGTCCAGTCCGCCACTCGCACACGCTGTGGGAGGGGAGGGGGGAAGGGCAGGGGGGGGGGGGGGCACAGTGCCGGGGTAAATAAGCCTCAGAGGCGAACCAAGGCAGGAAGAAGGGATGAGTGCGTGTGTGTACATGTGCATACTATTGCATCCATGAAGCACACCTGTGCGCATGCACATGTGTGTGAGTCAAGCGGATGCATGCATGAGTTGCATCCGTAAGGGCGGCGAGGCATGGCAGCATGGCATGGCAGCAGCATGGCAGCATGAGGAGCCCGTGGCGGCAGCAGGAGTTGCATGGAGCGTACCTGCAGGCCGGCGTCCTTGGCAAACTGCACGTAGTCGGAGGGCGAGCACCACGCCGGCAGGTAGTACGCGTCGCAGATGCGCTGCAGGAGAGCCTGGGGGGGTGAGAGGGGAGGAGAAGGGGGAGGAGGGGGGGAGGGAGGAAGGGAGGGAGGGGAGGGAGGGGCAAGGTGAGGGGGAGATGGACGCGGGGGGGAGTGGATGTGAAGGCAGCGAGAGATGGAGAGTGGAGTGAGGAGCGCGTGGAGGTGCACCATGCGAACGTGCCCATGGCCCCGCCCCTCCAGTCCCAGACACGGCCGTGCCTCACCTGCTCGCCCGCGGCGAGCTGCGTCTCCCCCGGCAGCAGGTCGCGGTGGCACCACGTCACAATGATCACCCGCCCGCCCGGCGCCGCCACGCGCGCCAACTCGCGCACGAACTGCGCACAGGGGGACGGACGGCATGGGGAGGGGGAATGGGAGGGGGGAGCATGACGGAAGGAAAGCGTGAGGCAGAGCGAGCACATGGCACCCGCGGCCATGTCTCGCCCTCTGCTCACCAGCCATGTCCTCTCATCCCTCCGCCCCTTTACTTTCGCTCTTCCTCTCTCCACCCCTCTCCCCCTCGTCCTTAATAATATTAACACGTATTCTCTACCTCCCGTATCCCTCTCGCCCCTTCCACCCCTCGCCCCCCCCACCTGCGCCTTGCGCGGCATGTGTTCGCCGCTCTCTAGCGACCACACCAGGTCGAACGTGGCGTCGTCGAACGGCTGTGCCATTGCGTCCGCCACCTGCAGCCGCACCTGCCAGTGCCGCGGGAGACAGGGGGGCGCGGGGAAACGTTGCGTGCGGAAGGAGGACGGCTGGCCAAGAGAGGGGAGGGAAGAGGTGGTTGGTTCAAGGGAGGTGGGCGGGGGACGCGCCGGGCGGGAGAGCGCGCACCTGCTGGGCGAGCCCCGCGTCCTTGCAGCGCTGGTTGCCGTGCGCCGCCTGCCACGGGCTCAGCGTGATGGCGTCCACCTGCGCGCCGTACTTGCGCGCCATGTGCCGCGCGCTGCCGCCCACGCCGCATCCCACGTCCACCACGCGTTTCGGCTTCCAGCCCTCGCCGTCTGCGGGATGGCGGGGGGAGGGCGAGAGGGACGAGGGGAGGGCGGGTTGGGTTACAGGAGGTGCGGAAGACGGCATGGCTAGGTCCTCGCCGTCCCTCGTCTCTCGCGCCACCTGCTCGCGCGTATCGCTCGTCCCTCGCCGCCGCGTGCGCTCACCGTCGGCCGTGGCCCATGCGAGCACGCGCTCGATCATCTCAACTTGCGCCGTGAAGTGATCCACGCTCCCGCCGATCACTGCGCTTCCGTTCCCGCTAGTAGCGACGCCATTTATAGCGGAGCCGTTAGAGGCGCTGCCGTTAGTGGCGCTGGAGGCGTTTTGGTTGGGTTCGGGGTAGTAGCCGTGGTGCATGTGCTCCCCCCAGATCTCCACCCACACCGCAGACGACTCGTCGTAGAACTCCGCGATCCCGCGCTTCAGCTCCGCCTCCGCCACCGGCGCCGCCGCCTCCGCCACCACGGGCTGCTCCTCCGCCACCTGCCGGGGGGGCGGGGGGGGGGGGGGAAAGGAGGGAGGGGGGACAAGGATGAAGTGCGGGATGGGCGGAGGATCGAGGAGCGGGCCGACGAGGCGGTGGTGCCAAGGCTCCACGCGGCGGACGGAGAGGCGACGCGAGCGAGTGGACAAGGGAGGGCGCGAGGCAGGAGGGCAGGCAGAGCTGCTGGGCGGCCCGCTCTCGGCATGGCGGCGGCACGCGCGGATGGCGATGGGCGGCGCTGAACGAAAAGGGGAAGTCCCTCCAGGAAAGGGGAAACGAGCAGCACGGCGAGGGGGCGGTGACGAGAGCAGGAAATCGGCGCCAAGCATCGCGCCTCCCCGCCCCTCCTCCTCCCGCCTCGTCCCACCGACGCAGTGAGCGCGGTCACTCACCGCGTTGGTTGCCACGTGTCGGACTGCCCGCATCGGGCCCGGATTCCCCGCGGACGGATGCTGGACGCGGAGCGAGGTGGAGGCGGAGGCGGCGGGGTCGCGGAGCGACGCCGCGGCGGTGAGGGCGAGGCCGGAGGGCCGGGAGGCGGCGAGCGAGGCAGCAGCCATGGCGGAAGGCGAGACGGGACGACGGGATGAGCAGAGTGGCGAGGAGAAAAGCAGAAGGTAGGGATAGCAAAACAAGGTTTACCGGGATGAGCGATAAGCATGTGCGTCGCAAGCCGAATTGCACAACTGGCAGGACTGCACAGTGGTGGAAAGTCGAGATCCCAACGGACCATCAGATCAGCCGGTTTTTGGCCACCTCGGACGATCCATACCCCTCGAAAAATCACCCTGTACAATCCGACTTCGTCAAGGAATTACCCTAATTCTTCAGAGCGCGTTCGGAAAGGCCTGATAGATTGTGGGCAGGTTTTGCGGGACGAGACAGTGGGGTAGCGAAGTGGGAGTGCTTGGGGGTAGGAAATCCGCCACCACAGACGCACCTGTGAAGGAGCTAAATTTGGGCCAGGAGGGGCTGGGAGAGGGGGGGTTGGGGGAAGGGCTGGGGCGATTTTGAGTGACTGCTCTTTTTAAAACCTGCTCCTAAGTGACCAGTGATCTGGTAGTACGTGCGGAAATACAGGTGAAGTACTAGCTCCTTGGCAGCATAGGGTGTGGTTCACTTCCCAAGTAACATTCGTTCAAATTCTTACCGCACTGAATCGTTTAAAAACGACAGCAACATACAGAAACGTACAGGACATGGCAATATTCAAATTGAAGCTGTTCGATCCCTGCCGTTTTACAACTTCCCCAAGTTTCGGGGAGGGAAGGGTGGGGCTAAGGGGGAAAGGGAGGGCTGGGGACCTTGAGATACACCCCCTGGAGGCCACCCAAGTGTCAGGGTCCTCCCAAAACCCTCCCGGACTCTACAGGTGGGTAGAGAAATCTCCCTGAGTTTTACAGGACTGGCCTGGGAAAAACCTTGTAGAACACATGGTCTTTCGGGAAACAAACCTTGGATTTTTAGTCAAGTTAGGGTAATTATCTCGTTAACACGTGACCCCCGGTAACCCCTGTTTGATGGGCTCGACGAGGGGCCATGGAGGAAGGGTGGTGGGCAATGTTAATTGAGGTAACGTCCTGGCCTGGTTCCCGAAGTAACGGGTAGATTCATTGTACATTTTAAATTAAAGGGAGTAGTTCGGGTTGATTTGGAGTGCGTTTAATCCCCGGACACCCGTTCACAGAACGCGAGCACCCTGCCGCGACCCCCTTTCGGAGTCTCGTTCAGCCGAACCCATCGCCCGAGTTGTGAACCTGGACTGGAGCCGATGGGGAATCCAAAAAATCTCCGACGGACCCGCGACTCCGTAGGGAGTTGGAGCGTCCCAGTCGTGGTTGACGGGAGAGGCGAGGTGCGGCAAGTGGAAAACCGTCGGCCTGGCTTGGAAGAACCAAGCTCCTTAGCTGGGGTGGATGGAGGTTACGGTGGGGCTCGGCGGCTCGCCAAGTACAGTATATGCCCAGCCTTATCGCAGCTCAACCTGGCTCCTGTATACGAGAAATGTGCGATCCGTTTGAGTCACTCATGATTGCGTCTGCGACCAGCATATAGCAAGGGACAAGTCGTTGCCTTCGAGGTTTCGTCGCCACGGAACTGTGCACCGCTGTCGCCTGATCGCTTCACAAGAGTCGCACACTGGCAACAAACATCGCCGCACAAGCCACCCACCCCCCCCCCCCCCCACAAATACCCACCCATTTCGCCGTGTGCTCGTGCAAAAGCCTCATTTGCCCGTGACGAGGGACAGCGAAATAATTGACCGATTGAATTTCGAGCACCCTAAAATCTTGTGCGATTCTGACGAGCTTCGTTTGTACATTACGGGAGGTTCGAGGTCGTGTAGGCTTGGAGGAAATTTGGCAACCTTCGAGGCTGGTAGGCTCAGGCAATCTTCGAGGCTGGTAGGCTCAGGCAATCTTCCAGGCTTCAACTGGCTCCCCCCACGGCGACTGACGGAATAAGCTGGATCTCCCAGAACAGGCCGTTGCCTCTAGGAGGTGCCAGACGAATGTCCCGAGATCAGGGAACACCACGCGCTGCACTCGACGTCACGCCACGTCACTCCGGTCGACTAGTCGCGGTCTGACGTGTTCCTTCGTTCGAACCACCAATGGGGAGGAGCGGTGTCACTGGCATGCATGCGTCCACGTTACACCTATGCCCTATTCGGCTGCACTTTTCGGGGCCCGCAGGTGGGTTTCTTTCAGTAGGTTAGAAAGGACTTGAAGCCCATACTCTCAAATTAGTCACACCGAACCTGGGGCAATGAACGGTTACACCTTGAGCCTGACAGAGGAACACAACTTTTCAGGGTGCCGGTAGACAAAAACGCGCATGGGTTTCGCACGGCATCGTCACGGGCATGTGGGCCATTCGCACGAGCATGAAGGTTACCATTTTGATTTTTTGCGGGGTAGGTTTGAGTGGCATATTTTGGCGAGCCATTGTTCACTTAGTTACCCTGTGTAAAGTTTCGGCTCTTTCTATCGAAAGTGAGTTTCTCTGGTGTAGCACCAGAGTAGTGGTTGGCGGGTGAGATGTTGAGTGAATTTTTCTGGTTCGGTTTGCTCCCTTTTATACTCAGTGTGTTGGGGTGAGGGGTTGGAGTCGCATTTCAGTTCCAAATGTTACGGGCGTGTTCTAAAGATTTCTTACATTACGAATTGAGGGTTCGTGTCGCAACAATAGCTGCTGTGTGGATTGTAAGAATTTGTATTTGAGTCTGTTCCTGGGTTGGCTGTCCGATGTTAAGAACGACCCCTGGCATCGAGACATCGCGACTCCATTTCGCTGCCAAGTCAGCGTTCGGTTTCATGCGGCGACACACAAGCCACAAACATTTCCAGCGAGGCGTGTGTAATTTTGCGAGCTCAACGAAAGGCTCGCTGACCTTCGCCGGAGCGCTATTCCGAGCGCGGCTGGAAGTTTGTGGCGAAAACTGTTGCGGTGGACATCTTTCGTCTTGTGCCGCATGTTTGTCACCGCTGTCATGATAACACTGCACTGCTGGCTCTGTTCACGGCCCACGTTGAGTGGGCCGTTGCCCGTGTGACAACGCTAATGGGCGATGGTTTCTGATTGGGCCACGTATTGAGCTGGGCCTCCGGTGGGCATCATGTGTACCGAAGTGGCAGTCGTTAAACGATAGTTTATTGGCCAAGGAATCCTCCAATCACATTCCGTCACCGGCGATTCGAGTGCGCGCAATAAACCAGCAAAGAATTTGGGTCGAGCCAGATTCTTTGCTGGTTATTACAAGCAAGGGGTACCAACAAGATGTTTAATAAAAATCACCCAAATCAGGCATGCAGTATGAACGCCCAAAAACAGCTGCGTTGCGGTTGGCTGGAAAAATGCCAAGGGACGAATTCAAGAACCAGCTCATTGCGCGAGTTTTGTCTGCCCCCGAGTTTTGAAGGGCGGGATCGAAATTTGGGCGCAAACGTTTCCCCCAAGCCACGTGTGAGCTCGCCCGGATATCCACCCGCTCATCAAACTTCCGAATGACATGTCGCCAACTTATGAACTGGGCCAGTTTACTGCCGCCGAACAGGGCCCTATAAGGCTTCCGGACTACCCGGATGCTTCTGTTGTCATCAGTGGAGGCGAGATGTTCGTTGTTCGTCTGTTACAGCTAAAGGAAATTTGTTATGAACAAACGAGTAGAGTAGCGCGGAAATGAATATCGAAGTGTTGAATAACTGAATGACAATCAGGGTTCTCATTTGGAAAAAAACGTGTCTATACTAGTTTTCAGCACTTTGTCTGATTCACTTTTCATATTCCGAGGCAACTGACAACCTAGTCTGATTTTGCAGAGAAATGTGAAAAACATGCCTGAACAAACAGAGAAATTGATCTACAAAATTTGATTGCCGTCGTCGGGCTTGGCGTTGTCGTCAGCCATGCTTGCGAGGCCTCGTGAGGGGGGACACCAAACAAGGAATGGACAGGAAACGTGAGTGGTGCAGCAGCAAGAAACGGGTGGGGAGGGCTCAGTTGCCATGGATCGGGATGTAGTGGGGTGGGGGATGTGGTGTGGTTCTGTAAACCGGTGCACGAATGCTGCCAAAATTTCATGTAAGCCTGTCCTTGATTCAGCCTTCTCCCCGCTGTGCATTGTCGAGCCAAGACATGTGATGCAGAGGGCTGCGACTGGTCCAAATTCGCTGCAGAACTGCCAAGTGTCCAGTCACAATTGCTCTAGCATATACCGTATTCCCCCATATATAAGACCCGCCGAAATAGTCACCCCATGGGTGGCATATGCGGGGGATAGCTTATGATATGGTGCATTTTTTAGAGCACTCACTTTTTTTAGTACGAATTATACATAACACCCTCCATCGAGGATTTGTGGATACACTGGTCTAGCGCCAAGGTGTAATAATTAGACAATAGTTTTAACACTAGTCTAAAGCCTATCCATTGTGCGAGGCATTTCTAGTGCATTTTCGACTACCTAAGCTAGCTACCACTACCATTCACTCAGTACACACTTATAATCCAACAGCTAGCAACATGTCATAGCAGGTAAGTCAATAGTTAGTCTCTGTCGCCGTCCTCATCGTGGTCCTCTCCTGCATGCCACACCTCAACACCTTCGTCGTCACTGGCGATGTCGTCCCAATCAAACTCATCACTCCAGTGGGACGCAGCCAGGCCCGCCAGAACCTCCGCCGTAGGCATCTCTAGACCTTCGTCACCTTCGGCAGCTGATATCTCCGCCTCTGTCACTGCTTTTGTAGAGGTTGTTGTTGCTGCTGCTGCTGTGCAGACTCTTGATGTTGGCGCAGTTGTTGCAGCTCTCGATGCACCGGATGATGAGGCAGTCGCTGTAGCTTCAATCTCCGTCTCCTCCGAACTGGGCGTGGCGCTCGGCTCCACATATTCCGACTCGTATTATGGGTTCAGCGCCCTGCTCTCTTCCATTTTGGCATGGTCATCCTCCATGACTTCGATCTCGGCGTCGTCCCCTATGTAGGCGAGGATCACTTCGTCCTCCGTGCCGTCGGTCGCATTGGAAATTCCGCACATCTTAAACGCGCGGTGGATGAGTTTAGCTGGCACCGCGGCCCAGGCGTCGGCAATCCGCACGAGCTCGGCTGGCGGCTTGCGAAGATTCCCTCCAGGGGAAAACACAACGACGAGACAGTAGGCGGGTGCTTTAGGAGTATTGGTGGAGAAATGCAAGGCATGGTTTAAAAAATCACGACACGGGAAGAGGTTTTAAAGACAAACAATAAAGACGTTACTCACCAGCAGGGGTTGTGGACTCGCAGCTGAATTCTTCGAACCACTTGCTGTAGGACCTCCGTCATGCACCTTGACGCACCAGTTTACCACCACGTCTAGAGGCTGGATGATGGGCGTGCAGCCGTCGGGAATGACAGCCCTGGACAGCTTGAAGAGCCACATCAACTGGGACAATCCCTCCGTCAGGTGTCCCTTGTACGAATCGAGGACCATCAGAGCTTTCTGACGCCCCCCACGCCGCAAGGGTATCGAGCGGAGAAACGGCACCAGGACGCTGGTGACCCAGTCCTTGACATGAGTCTCGTCCATCCACCCTTTCTCCTGGGCCTTGATCACAATTCCTGCACAAGCGCAAGGTAGGAAACATTAGAGTTCGCCCTGGAAAGACAGCTACGAAAATATTAGCGGTGGCGGCACAAAAAACAGGCACGAAATCCTCACCGGGCGGGACGCGGATCTGAGGTAGTGTCTTTCACTTGAAGATGATGTACGGCTTCAGTTTCTTGCCACTTGCTGTGACGGCCAGCATGACAGTCAGCCTCTCCTTCTCATAGCCGGCCGTGCGCACATGGACAAATCTCGAGCCTCGGACTTCGAGTGTGGTCTCTTGCGGCATCCCCAAGAATAGTGGCGTCTGTTCCGCATTGATGATCAGATCGTCGGGGTAGTCGTTGAGAGTGCGGACCTGCCGAACGAACTCCCAGAACTTCTCGCGTCACAGTCTGCCAATGAAAACAATAAAAAACAAAAACAGACAAAGCAAAAGTACAGTTAACAAACAAGGAAGCACGACAAGAGCTAGAGCAGATGACGAGGGCAGGGAGTATTCGCGACACGTCAAATTACGTACCTGCGGTAATGCGCTGGCCCATCTTCATCTTCACGCGCTTCGTCAGTCCCCACGCGCGCGGACATAAAGGTCCACCCTAACGAGGCGCGCCAGTCGATACCAGGGTGGTGCTTACGCATGTACTGCCGACTCCAAATCTGTTGCGTGCCGATCAGGACCGCCAAGCCTTGCGCGCGCTAGCCCAAGAACTTCTTGCACAGCTCGCGCTCCATGGTGGGGTACGTCACCTTCCTACCGGAGCCGATGAGGCGACGCCTGCAGCCAGCCGAGGCAGTGAGCCGTGCCTTGTTCTTCTTCCAATCGCAAATCTGGCATGGCTGCACTCCAACCATCCGAGCAAGGGAGTGGTTCGACATCTCGGGGTTCGCCTCCAACTTTGCCAACCAGTATAGCTTCTTGGTTGCAGTCCGTGCGAGTCGCTTGCGACTCGTCCTGCGAGCCCTAGGGGAGGGAGGTGCAGCATTACGATTACGAAGAGGCAGATTACGACGGCGTTGCACTTGCGGGAAACGAGGCACGATAACGCGCGGAAGTGGGCGAGGAGGTTCAGGCTCACGGTCGTCAGCCTCAGCCTCCTCCCAAAACAGGTCGTCGTCATCCTGCCAATCGTTGTCCCACTCCGGGGGACGTGTGACCACCGGCGATGAGAGAGGTGGCAGAGCACGGGGAGCCGGGGGCGCAGGAGGAGCAGGAGGTGCAGGGGGCACTGGTGGCACGGGTGTTGCCGGAAGAGCGCGAGATGCAGGCGGATATCTAGGAGCCGAAGGAACTAGTGGGAAAGGACGGAGCAACGTCTGATTCCCGAAGGGTGGGCGATGAGCTCGCAAAAGTGACACACCACTAACTGCTCGAGCGGCCATGGGGGAAAATTTCGATGAGGGATAGCGAGCTAGGCGAGATTGGGCAATGCCCGAGCCTCTGTTAGAGAGCCCGGGCATTGCGAAGAATTTGATCGAGGCTGAGAGGAGCGAGGAGCAAGAATGACGATGCAGCAAGAGAAGGTTGGAGAAGAACCGTGGCCGACGCCCCAAGCCGAAGCGCGCACGGCTCTGCAAGAAGTGATGGGACCATGTATGCTGGTCCCATCAAGAAGATTCCATAAAGGAATCTGGTCGCGCACTTCAACCTGCTGCTGTTACATTGTAAAAACACGGGATTCCTAGCCGTCGATGAAATCTTGTCAGATGCAGGAGGCAGCTTTCCTCTTGTGCTGGCAGGACCGGTTTCCTCGGATTGGCTGCAAATGCAGCACGTCATGACGTTATCGCCAGGCTGGCCCGAGTGGAGGTTGGGGATCGTCATCCAAACCTTGCTTAAGGTGTCAACCTGTACTATGCATGTATTTCCGCATGTTACGCCCCAAATTCATTTTGCATTATACATAAGACATGGGGGTTATATATTTCCAGCCTACTGCTAACACCCATTCGTTTTTTTAATGATTTTTTTACAATACCCTAGGGTGTTATATACGGGGGAATACGGTATTGCCCAATGGGGCTCGGTAAGGCTCACACCCAGAGCACGAAGGGGGGAATGACGTGTGGCGTGGCGGCATGAAACAGAGGGTATTCGCAGGGAGCTATGTACACCTGGATCTCTATGATTCAGTGAAACTCATAACACTTGTCTAAAAAACAGAGAAACTGGTGCATCAAGAATGAAAAATTCAGAGATATCAGAAATCATTGTCCAAGCCAATCATAGATTTTCAAAATCGTTATCTGGGAAATCAAAGTAACCCAGAAAAAACAGTATGAAAATAATACAATTAGAGAAAAAACGTAAAAAAATTAGGACCCTGATGACGATACAATGAATGGCAAGCAAAGGTATAGGAACAGTAGAGCTAGTCTAGCCGTGAGATGTGAAGGTTTGGGAAGGAGATCGAAGGGTCACGAAGTGATAAAGCGAGACCCAAAGAACTCCCGAAGGTCAAACTAGAAGGTATGGAGAAGCCGAGGCGATTATGTCAGAAAGGTCTGGAACTAACCCGAGGCTTCGGGTGTGTTCGAGCGTACGCGATAGCAGCACGGCTCGGTAAGGAATGGAAAATTCCTTACATCCCCCCCCCCCCCCCCCCCTTAGCGAAAGTGGTCTATATCAGCCACATGCTTGTGTGCAAAATCATTCGCAAGTATCGAAGGTGACTGTATCTTGTCCGAGGGCACCCATGTGTCGTCCTCACTGGTACGATTGGTCCATCGCATCAGAAAGTCAACGTGTCATCCTTTGCCGTCGATACAAATCCGATGGCTCAAAATCTTCAATGGCTCGATAGTCGTCTCTGCTGGTGGCCATACATCTCGGACCAGTCACTGTCGAGCGATGTTCGACATGTCAGGTACGAAGGGTCACAACAAGCTAACGTGGAACTTATCGCGAAAACACCAATCTTCAGGTAGGTGCAACTGGGCGGTCACTGACGTCACCATCTTCATGATCTTGAACGGGCCATAGAAACGTGGTCGTAATTTTGTCGGTAGCGGCAGCCATAAATTCTTGGTGTCCAGAAGGCCTAGTTGCCCTGCTGCCATGGTAATATCCCTTCGATGTAAATCCGCATACTGTCGGGCAATGACTTTCTCCTTGCGAATAAGTTCGACAACTTCATTCCCGGCACTCTGTAAATTTTCTATGAAATGCTGCGACCGTGGTACTTGACTCTCAACGTTGGTAGAGATAGGTACTATCGTGTCCAACCCATAATTGAGGTAAAACAGGGAGTGATTAGTCATAGTTGAGGGCGTGTTGTTGTAGGAAATTTCCCAACATGGGCAGCGCGTCCTCCCACTTGTTTCGGTCGGGGAAGTTTGTCCGTATCAGCTGCTCCATCGTTTGGTTTGTCCTCTCTGTCCGTTTGCGGATGATAAGCGGATGAGAATTGCAGGCGCGTGCCGTACCGAGCCCACATGTGTTGCCAAAATTTTGACGTGAACTTCAGGTCTCGATTGCTAATGATTGCTGTTGGTATCACGTGTAATCGAACAATGGTCGAGATGAACAGTAGCGAGGTTTCTTCGGCTGTGATTCTCGGACGAAATGGTGCGAAATGAGCCATTTTCGTCAATTGGTCGACAACAACCAACACTACGTCGTTTCCGCTGGATCCGGCCGAAATCCATTGTCACTTGTTGCCAATGACGAAATCCATTGTCACTTGTTGCCATGGGCGTTGAGGTGGCTTGAGGGGCTGCAACAGTCCTGTCGGTCGCTGATGTGATGATTTCATTCGCTGGCAGATCGAACACATGGCCACTTAACGCTGCACGTCTATCACCATATCTTGCCAGTAATAAAACCGCTACAACGCCTTCAAAGTTTTATCAACCCTGAAATGTCCCGGTAGATTCGAATCGTGGACTTCTTGAATTAGTAATTCGCGAACTAGACGATAACTTGGGACCCAAATTCGATCCGTCCCACTTCGTAAGTAATAGACGCCTTTCCGTGTAGTGATTTGGAGCTGGCCATCATTTACAAAGAAGGAGTCGGTTGAATACTCGTGGGTAAATAGTCCACTCCGTAGCAGTTTGCTTTGGGTGACTAGTACTGCTGCAAGTTGGGCGGACAGTCTGGAGAGGGCATCAGCAATGTTGTTGGCACCCCTTTTGTACGTGATCTTGTACGTGAAGTTGGACTCCAGATAGTCCTGCCAACGGATCTGCCGCGGGTTGAGATTCGGCTGTGCCCTCAGGTACTGTAATGATTTATGGTCAATTCGCATTGTCACGTCTGCTCCAATCAGGTAGCACCTCCAGATTTTGATCGCGTGGACGATCGCCAACATCTCTTTCTCGTGTACCGGGTAGTTGCGCTCAGCAGATTGCACTTTCCGAGACGCGTACGTGATTGGTTGAAGACCATTGCTGAAATCTTGCATGAGCAGTGCTCCGATGGCAGTGTCACTTGCATCTGTCACGACTTTGAAGGGTCGTTCAAGGTCAGGGATGCGAAGTACTGGTGGCAGACATTAATTTTTTAATGCCTCGAATGCAACTTGCTGCTTCTCCCCCCACTCGTAAGAAGTCTCCTTTGTAGTAGGTTGGTTAGAAGTCCAGTTAACCCCGCCATGCTGGGCATAAAACGCTGCATGTAATTCACAAAACCCAGAAAAGATTACAGCTAGTGCAGGTTGGTCGGCGGCTTCCACTCCTGAATATCCCAGAGTTTTTCGGGTCTATTTTAAATCCCTCAATGGAGATCATGTGCCCTAGGAACTCCGGTTCTTTAAAAAAAAAACTCGCACTTGGAGCCCTTGGTGATGAGATGATTTTTCTGCAGCTGCTGAAAAACCGCTTCCAAATCTTTTATATGCTGCTCCCGAGACTTGGTGTAGATTAGAATGTCGTCCGAGTAAAATATCACGCATTTGTCGAGTAGATCGTGGAACACCCCGATCATGGTGAGCTGAAATGTTGAGGGGGTGTTCATTAATCCAAACGGCATCACCGTGTATTTGTAACTCCCGTAGCAAGTACGAAATGCGGTCTTGTGGCAATCGCCAGCGAACACCCGAATTTGATGGTAGTCGCCGCGAAGGTCGATCTTAAAAAAATATCGAGCTTCGCGAAGGTTGTCAACGAGTTCGTCCGTGTGTGGGATTGGATAGCGCGATTTTATCATTTCCCGATTAAGGGCACGCCATATTTTTTTCGGGGTGAACAAGATCGGCGCTGCGAACGGGGATGTGCTCGGCTGAATAAACCCCTTTGCCAGCAGGTAGTCAAGTAGATTTCGTAACTATTGTAGCTCGGGCAGAGTCAAGCGCCATTGAGTTTGTACAGTAGGCTGCACGCCGGGCTCCAGCTCGATTTTGTGGTCCTGGGGTCATTCGGGTGGCAGTCCACTTAGCAAGTCATCCGGAAAAATCTCGGGATATTCCCGAATGATTTTTGCCAAGTCATTCGGGACCGAAGCACAGAGTTTGTTGATGTCAGTTGCCTCGTTCTGCTCCGTGGATTCGGTTAGATGGACATCGTATAAGTCTGCTCCATTCTTGACCACTTGCTTATGGCACACTGCATTGACTCGGGTCGATGTTGTCTCTGTTTCCGGCCACGTTGGTAATTTTTGCCAACCTTTGTCGCAATTCACAGTGCACTTACCTGTCGTCCAATCGATATGCTTCTTGCTGGGGCAGTCGCGAGATTGGTGACCCGGCTGGTGGCAGTTAAAACATTGTCTCTTGCGAGAATCGTCCAAGTGCTCCTTCCCACTATGACGTGAATAATGGGCTGTGTATCCTGTTCGCGGAGTGATTTCCCTCTTGGGAACCCGCTCTCGCATACGTCCGAAGCGTGTCGAAATTGTCGGTGATCCGAACTGCTTCGTGAAACGTCGCCGGCAGTCGCAGACGAACTTCGCATTTAATGTCCTGCTTCAGATCCGAAATGAATCGAGCCTTCTTCTCGGAGTCATGCATGTCGGTGATTTGATCACATAACGCC